TAGTAAGAGAATAGAATTTGGCCAGCATTTTCAATTGACTAACTTTCTAAATATTCTAGCTCCTTAGCGCAAATGCGACTTAGCATTACAGATTAAATTGTGTTTATTCTAGGTAATGCGTATAGGAGCTAGGTGAATAAATTTATTTAAATGCTGTTACCACTTTGAATTCTGTGTCAATCGCATTGTTCGTGAACGCCAATGGGGTCAATCAATGATTTATTAAAGAATTATTATTTCTATTTATTGGGCAATGAATTACTTATCAAAGAGTCCGGGTAAGCGAATAGTGCTGATCGGAGCAAAGAAGCAATGCTTCAAAAAGAAAAATCCTGCGTAAATCTTACCAACGGTTCTCCATTGATTCAACGTTTGGAATCGATCTTCAAAAACAGTGAAAGGCCAGTGCTTGAGGACGATCTGTGAATGATTCAAATAGTGATCCGATATTCGAATGCTCGATATCGTTCCTCTAAATCCAACCAATTCTTGATGCCCAAAATGGCGCCGATCCGATGCGATGAACAATCGCTTGCACGCACTTCTTACTAACGAATATATTGCACCTGACTGTTTATTCACATAAATTTTCTCTTTTGTGGCCAGTTTTTTTTTTGGAATGCCAACAGGAATATTTTTGACAGGATGAAGATGCATAATAAATTCATGATTTGCATAATAAATTCATGATTTGCTAGAAGAACCGATGATTCAAAGCATCTAAGGCATTCAGCAATGTTGAGTAATGTTACATATTTATTTCAAATGAAGTTAATGGGCAATGTAATTGAACTTAAACTCAATTCGCCATGTCTCCAAACAAAAAAAGTGTCATTTTTGTATTTGATCCTCAAAACAGCATTCAACATTTATGAGACTTGTGAAAATCTGAAGCGTTGCTCACAATGAGGGATACACCAAAATTGAGGTAAATGAGGGACTACTATTGAAGATGATCCACATATCACCTAGCCAAATGGCTCTAACAACTAGATGAAATCAGTTGAAATGTATTGAAATGTCGAAAGTAGTTGAAATGTATTTTAGGAGCAGAACATAAAGTAAATTCAACAATTATTCAACATTTGTACTTGTTTTCTGGATTTAGCAACGCGCGCTCCGTTAATGTAGAGAAAGAATTCGTGACCACTGTAAGCAATTGCAACTTGAATCCATTCGTTCGCGGACCACGACAGTTCACTTCTGAAAATCTCAATCAAAATTTCTGCTCCTCATCATATTCTAAAAAAACACCAAAAAATCGCATCATAATGTTGATCTTCGTTTGCTGAAATATTTTTCCTTAAGAAAACATACGATGCATCCGACGAGAATGAAGTAATTTGAAACATAAACATGTACATAGTTTTGGTCGTGGATGGCTGGTTGGATCGAATAATGTTCTTGGATGGATTTATTTTATTAAATAACGAATGAAATTGCTTTTGAAAATTGCATTTAGTGACAATTTTCATTTCTGTTTGCCTTTTTCAGCCAAACTCTGCTTCATGTTTAATGTTGCGCACTAAAACGTCAGTAAAATCAAGCGGAAAAATTATTTACCTCATCAAAAATTCTGAGACGTAACTTTTTTTNTTTTTTTGCGAAAGATGGTTTAAGGTCAAAATATTAACGCTAATTTTTTATAGCTAAAGTTGCCATCACTGAAAGATCACCTCGATATTAAACTGATGACTGCTTTGGCTTACGGAATAAAAATTTCATGACAATGCAAGTGCTTCCCTGAAAGCGACTAAGATAAAGGGTTAGTTCATGAATCTATCCCGCGAATTTCTCAAAACATCAATTTCTTTCGGAAAAACGACCGCAAGATTTCTCAATTGTAACATCTACGTAGTAGTTCGCATGGCTTTTTGTTCACACACTGTGCATCAATCCAAACAAATTTGAGATTTTTGCTTTTTTTGTAATTCATAAATTCAATTTTCAATGGAATAACGAACTTTAAAGTGGTTGGTTGATTGGCCATTTGAGTGGTGAGCTGAGCGATAATGCGAGCCTTGTGCTCGCCTCCTCCTTCACTCTCAATCGCAATCCGAACACTCGATGTAACACTTTGTTTACCACAAATATCACCCAGTGCTGTAAGTATCGTTTCTCATTAATTGAAACTATCAACATCATTTGACCGAAACAGCTAGGTTTCTGTCCCACGGCCTTCTAAGCCTCACGATATGCCATTGTCCTCGTAAAATTATTTTCATGTATGCACAAGTTAAAAAGATAGCTGGATGTTAACAAAAACGATGATCGCATGAATATTGATACGATATGAGAGAAATATTTGGACATTCGGTAGTTTTGCAATGAGCGATTA